CATGTAAAACTCGAAATGGGAGGGATCACCAAGGGAACAGACGGAGAAGAGCGGGCACATGCAGGGTTAAATGTAGTCCGAGCCGACGCAGACTCCAGTAATGGGGCAGACGCAGCCGACGCCGACCCCAGTTAAACACGCACCCTCAGATTAGCAAAGCGGAGTTATAACGTCTGCATTTGCGGACAAGGTTGAATGGCACTACCGTTAAATCTCGATAACGCACAAATAACTGCTTGTATCATTTAGCACATAGCATTACAACTAGCATTGGGATACGGGGAATTTCGGGTTATGGTTCGATCGTTCAAATTTAGTTTTACAATATAAAAAAACAAACAATGTTTGTTGCATGGGCACTGTGGCGTGATTCACACGCTTGCACGGATGGTGGATGCGCACCTTGCATGAATACAGTATATATACGTGTCTATATGTTGTCAATGCCTGTCAATTGCGCATCGATGAATGAAGCTGTATTTTGCTAAAGCCTGTCATCCGATTCGATCAGAGAAAAAATGCAAAATTGCATCTCGCTGCTTTCATAAGCGTGTCTCGTTCAGTTGCCACTTCACTCACAGGCGGGTACGCGATACCCATCCTTCATTGTGTGAGCGATGGGAAACATTTCTCGTCATTGACATCGTTTCACCGGTATTTCAAGCGATACTTTACTTACGCAGTGAGAGGGTTTCTCCGATTTGTTCACTTGACAGGCTTCGGCTAACTCTTGTTGCTTTCCTCTGTAAGCGTCTGTGCATTTCCCGTAAGTAACGTTATGCAACGTTGTCGTTATCGCTGCGTTTCCGTTTACGGCCTGCCGTTAATTCTGTCCTACTACGTTAGTTTCAACGTAAAATCTCGTGTATCTTTTTGTCTTGTTGTTTCCCACGTAATTTACATTAAAAACTACATCCATATATCGGTGGTCGAACCAGCATAAAGATGCAACAGACGTTCAATAAACCCCATTTCAGTAAAGGCAAATCATTTTTTAGAGTGAGGCTGGATATTAGTTTTCACATTATTATTTCGGTCGCACGAACCAAGAAGGCGAAGTGTGTGTGCGTGAGTACGAGCGTGTGTGTGTGCGTGAGTACGAGCGCGTGTGTGTGCGTGAGTACGAGCGCGTGTGTGTGCGTGCGTGTGTGTGTGCGTGAGTACGAGCGCGCGTGTGTGTGCGTGAGTATGAGCACGTGTGTGTATGTATAGCGCAGATAGATGGAGATGACGGCTGGGAGGATTGATGTAAAATTAATATAATATAAAGATATTGATACCGGAAGGCTCATGGGATGATGTTAGATAGCAATAATCTAACAATTACAAATAGTGACTCGAGCAATTAATAGATATCTAATTACCGTATTATAGTAATTATAGTATGTTATTAGTTATTCCAATTTTTTGCCTGTTTCAGGGGCGTACAACATTAATGGTGCAGACAGAAAGTAAGTTTATTAAAGTTATATGAGAAATTATTACTTCGTTTAGGATAATTTACGTTATATAATCTACAAGACACCGCGCTGCACACAGTAGAACTTATCGCATTAGGAAGCATTACACCACTTTGTCGTGAGCAGTGAAGCGAAGTTGTTACCATCCTTAAGGCGACGTTTCTTTGATTTCAAGCAACCAAGAATCTGGTGTAGCAGCTGACATCAGTGCAAACACTCCTCCCGACGTGCCGTCCGTTAGCGACCACTCTCCGGCTCGTCCGTCCAGCCACGCACCCTCCCGCACCCGCCTCTCTCCCGCCATCTTCACCGTGCCGTCGTCCTCCGCGCGCAAGCCCACCGTAGAGCGCGCTGAGGTGCATAGGCAGTGGTCGCTGCGAGCGCCCGCTAGCGGCAGGTCGCAAGTACACGCCGTACCGCGCTCGATCGACGCCCGCCAGTCGCAGGGCAGGGTGCAGTTCACGGCAGACGTAGAGGCGGTAGCTGATAGGGACTTGTCGTCGACGAATCGAGAAAGGTACCTGCCCGGCCGGGGCGGTCTTGCTAGGTGGAGGTTAGGTGGATCCATGCTGGCCAGGCATGCTGTGTGGCCTAGATGCTGTGTGGCAGGCACTGCAGACGATATCTACGGTTGTGTGTGTGTGTGCGTGCGAATGTGCGCGTGCGTATGTGTGTGCTTTCACGCGTGTGTGTGCGCGCGGTGTGTGTGTGCTTGCGTGCGTGAGTGCGTGTGTGTCACTGTGTGTGTGTGTGTGTGTGTGTGTGTGTGTGTGTGCGCGCGTGCGTCCGTGCGTGCGTACGTGCATATGTTTGTGCTTTCACACGTGTGTGCGTGCGTGCGTGTGTGTGTGGGTGTGTACATGCGTGCGTGTGTATGTGTTTGTGCATGTGTCTCTGTGGAAACAGAAGCATATTGTGGGACGCCTGATTGGCTGTGTTGGTGGGGCAGTATCAGCTGTGTTTTCCAAAAAGTGTCGAGGGTGTTCATCGTGAAGCGACAGTTTAGTACGTCACCAAATAAGCGCCATCTTTCGGTCATGTCATCGCAGGCACTGGCCGGCGTTCATTATTATAACGCTTCGTTATAGCTTTCAAAACGATAAAAGATGAAGAGCAAGTATAACATCGTGCGCAATTCTCTGCGGGTAGCTGTATTGTTCATTTTGTCATCATTCCTCATCCGCGTGTCTTCGCTCTCCGGTCATCATCTGTTTGCTGTGCTGCAGAGAACCAGTCAATCAAAGATCTGGTGACTACGCTGACCGCGACCCAGTGACGACATCGACGGCAGGATTCTTGCCTCCCGACGCTTGCCAAAGACGGAGAAGGTAATATTAAAACCCGCTGTATGCAGGCCGTGCACGTTGCGCGACATTCTCTGAACTCACCTCGTCTCTGCACACGACGGGTTTACACCCGGCTAGGGTTTGTAATCGTACCTCGGCGAACGTCGCGGTCTCGTGGCCGTGTCCTGATTCATATAGCGCGAAATAAAGTTGCGAGAAGAGTGGGATACGAAATGGCGAAATCCCCAGAAGTGATGACGGAAGTGAAGAAGATGTGATGCGGACGGTGAGTTCGGGGCTGACCGACTATGATGGAAGTAGCAGGGTACTGGCGAATGGCTTCTTCGTGCGTCCTAACCGTACGTTTTTGGCGTTGTTCAGATAAAAACCAAAAAAGAACAACGAGTGGAGAAAAGTAAAGCAGGAGGTTTAGAAGCTGGTCATCGGTAAATATTGTAGCGTCTTGAATTACCTATATATTGCCATTGTGTTTCACCTTACGGACTTCATTAATGCATTCCGTAATTATAATTAAATTATCGCATGCGTATGTGGACTATGTTTGCATAAGCAAGCTCACAGTGTGTTTTGCTTCTTAATTGGTTCTAATATCAATACAATAATTATTTCTTAACAGTTTTTGATTCAATAGTGTTTCTGCTGGGTTGTAGATTTAAAGATGCTTCAATGGCTAATAAGAGAATGGCCCATACACCCAAGACCCACTTGCACACAGGTGGCCCCGACAAGGTGAGTTATCCATGTCTTCTGCTACATTGCACCTTCTTGCGCTGGAACCTTTGGTTATCCTGGCCCTTGAGATTTTTGCGATGTTGTTCTTTCCTGTCTGTGTTGCGTAAAGTGGCCGTCGCTTCGTGGGGCCATTTGCCAAGAAGCATCATAGCCTGCGATAACTGATAGTGCTGGCTGAGGAGGTCTATTGTCGCCCCAGGGTAAGTACAGCCGGAACGTAGCCCTGGATGACGGTCCCGGTATACCGAACGTACCCTGGTACTATCTTAATATGCCGAACCGTGCTCGCCGTACTCCACTAACGAGTTCGTAGCGGAGTCGCTCGCCTATCCCCTAACCCTTAACCCTAACCCTACCATATCAAATTAGTTACGGCAGGGCACGTTAGCGGTATACCGGA